GAAAGCTCATCGTCATTCTCATAAAGATCGCTGACCAGCTTGTTTAAACCCTCAGGAAACTTGCATGGACGTCCAGATCTTGGCCTGTCCGCGAATGAACCCGTTTGTTCGTATTTCTTCAGGAACAAACGAACGGTTCGCCGGGTGACAATGATGCCATCTTTCCGAAGGTCGTCCAAGATGGTTTTCTGGCTCGCCCCAGAACTATGTAATCTCGTGATTCGCGTTTTAGCGTAGAGAGACAATCTCTTGACCATGATGAGAGATACTACCGAGCACAATGACAGAGAGCAACGTTGTGACTCAACTTTAGCTTGTTTACCCGCATGACATTATTGAACGTGACGTCATTTCATCGTAAGCCAATGGGCGCCCATTTGTTATACCAGGCAATGTATGGGACGGAGGGGTACCCCCTACCCGTCCTTTCCCTGCACACACTCCAGACGATTGTTACCTAACACATCCCCTCCAGATGTCTGTAAAGAATTCCTGAGATACCGATCAAACACATTGCTTGTATTTGTAAGTTGACAATCACGGGACATACAAATCTGTAGCCCACTTAAATTCGGTTGTGTGACGCGGCAAGATTTTTTTTCCCATGTGATTCGGTTCTGGAAACTCAGTATTGACGAAGGTGAACTAGTAAAACTTCATGTACATATTACATGTGCACGGTCGATAGAATGAGGCGTGCCCAATACACAATTTGATTGGCGAACTACGTTGTATTTTTAGGGTGTCACTCGGCAATCATCGCAAACAGCCGTAGACGGCCAAGATACTGAGACAGATGGCTCGCTGCCAACAAAAAAAGCGTGGGCCGGGAAGTGGATTTCCAGACACTGTCATTGAGATGAGTTTATGCCCAAATTCATGTAATGTACATGTACCTGATCACACGGTGGGTTACGTGATGGCGAGCTGAATAACATGAACGCCCAGTACATGTATTAACACGTGGGAATCGCGTGGCAGATTTCTCATGTTTGCTGAGCAACAGTATTGGCAAGGCAACTGTGACGTTTAAACTTACAGCTACCCAATTGGTTATTAACCACAAAATCCAAAACTCGGAAGTGGATTTTTTACAAAGCGGTTAATCTACGCCACATCCCCACTCTACTCGGCTATTACAGCCTCAACAACTCCTGATTACGATGTACCGGGTCACATATTTACGTGCATTAAATAAATTTTTAAAATGGTCCCACGAACTTGTAAATACAAATCCCATCATATTAATGTACGTGTAAGATGAAAAGGAAACATTCTCGCTTCCAAAGGAATTACATAAAATTATATTGTCTTCGGACATATTAACGCTGGCGAATCAGAACAGCTGCCTCAAAACACAAAATAATTTTTTTCCGAAAATAACCCCCACTTACAAACCCGAAAGGCAAAAACAAAAAGCAAAGAGTTTACAATAAAAACACGCAAAAAGAAACAGCAATAATTAATTAACGGACTTTGAGTAGCCAATTCTCATGCGCCCTCGCTTGAGTGATGCATGTCTTGCACGGTGGAACAGCTCGTTCAATTGAGACACTGCGACACTTCAGATTTTCTTTCTCACCCAAAATATCGTATTAATTATGCTACTTGGATTTTGAAAACTTTCCTCACTTTAATTTCTATACATGTATATGTAGTAATTCTCACGAGGTAATTAAAAAGAAATGTTAAAGGTGCTACCGGTACTAGATAGCTCTGCGGCGCTGATACGAATTAGTCTCCCGTTGTCCTACATGTATAGCAGCGTTTATTATTGGGCAATGACGCCTTGCTTCCTTAATCGGGCGCACACACAACTTCCGCGGAGGTCACCGTTTAACGCTCCAGTAACCCTGTGGTGATCGCCGTCCGGATGCAACACACGATAAAACTCGACACACGCCCGACCTCGCACGATCTCGCTCGCGGCTTACCCGATCTCGCTCGATGAAAATTCTTCAAGGGAAGCTTATTTTCTCGAGGGACTCGCGAGTCCTCGAACCTCGATGGGTACTTACTTGAGATCACTGC